AAAATTTATATAAAATGATAAAGGTTTTGATTCTACATTACATAAGTCATGCAAATTGATTACAATAAAAAATAGGACCTCAGTGGTTCTTTGTGGCTGTCTGGAGGGGTGGGATAGGGAGGGTGGGAGGGAGGGAGACAAAGAGGGAAGAGATATGGGAACATATATATATGTATAACTGACTCACTCTGTTATAAAACAGAAACTAACACACCATTGTAAAGCAATTATACCCCAATAAAGATGTTAAAAAAAAAAAAAAAAGATCACAGATCACAGATCACCATAACAAATATAATAATAATGAAAAGGTTTGAAATATTGCGAGAATTACCAAACTGTGACATAGAGACGTGAAGTGAGCACATGCTGTTGGAAAAATGGCACTGATAGACTTACTTGACACAGGGTTGCCACAAACCTTCAATTAGTAAAAAAATCAATGTCTGTGAATCACAATAAAGCAAAGCACAACAAAATTAGTTATGCCTCTATTAGAAATATTAAGAAAGGTCACTAAAAGTAAATATATCAGAATTATTTGCTTCGGCAATAACCTGGTAGAAAATTTAATCATAAAAGGAATGTCATCCCCCAAAGCAACAAAACCATAAAACATCTAGGAATAAACTTAACAAATAATGAGTATGACCTATCTGAAGAAACATAAAATTTATTGAAGATCATAAAAGTTGACATGGATAGAAAGACACAATTTTTAAAGATACCAGTTCTCAAATTAAAGTGCAGATTCTTTGCACTTTATGTCACTCAGTGTGAGCCTTTTTGTTCTGTATATAGTTGTTCTGTATATTGTTGTTCAACACATATGCATACATAGACTCTGTATTTGCATGAAGAAAGGTGGAAATTGTTATCAGTGGTTGGTGGTGGAACAGGCATTGCAGGGAACTTTCACATTCTACTTTATACATTTCTGTGTTGTTTGCACATTTTAAAAAAAATAGTGTATAATGTGTGTGTGAAGGAGAGACAGAGATTGATTTCTCCTAAGAGGATGTATCTTTTTTTTCAAAGTGAGTTATTTTTAGTTTTTTTTTTTTAAGTCTTAGTTGCCTGTGAGAATGTGATGAGAGCTATGACCCCTCTTCCCACTAAGATGGACATATGCGTGCACATGACTTTGATACAATTTTAGGTAGAACAAAGAGGCAGCCAGTTGAGAATACCTACTCTAGGTTAATCAGTATGGTTAGTGGGGAGAGTTCTTCAGGCCCAGGCATACATTTGGCTGAGGGAGCACCAAGGTGGGTGTGGACTGCGGGCAATGACCCTGCAGCAAGGCTGGGTTCTCCCTGGGTGCCCTGAGGTAAGGAGGCCAGGGGTGGGAGGCCAGCAGGCTGCCCCTCTCAGGCCAGGTGGTGGCAGCAGACGGCATCAGGAACAAGGTTAACTGGGCCACCATTAATCAGGGCAGAGCAGGACAGGCAGGCCTGGGTGCTTCCCCCAGCAATTGCTTCTCTAGGCTTCATGGAAACCTGAAGCTGCAGGAGTAGGTGGGAACAGCAGTCCCTCCTCTGCATCCCTGAGTTACCTCTGTGGGAATTTGAGGGAGGGAGGGAGGAAAGAAATCAAAGGTGTTTACTCAGTTTTGTCACCTGAGTAAAGGTGGCATTTACCACTTTGGTCACTATGTATATTTTTAGAGTGTGCAAAAAGAGTCAGGTTCTATAACGCAGGGGATGAGAAGCTCTGGAATATAGGAGACATGGGAGGGCATCAGCTTCCACCCTTCCTTCTTGACAAGGCCGGGAAGATCAGATGATTTCTGCATCCCTCACACCCTCAGCTTCCTCAGCTTTAGTAGACTAAAAGCTAATCTGGAGCAGGTGTTCAGAACAGCCATCAAATCACAAGAGGTTCACACAGCAGTCAGCCAAGACTTTGGGACATTGAATGCATGTCTTTCTTTAAGCAAACAATACAAGATTTTATTGTTTTTGTTTTATCAAATTGTAAGTTGATCCAAAATTAGAAAAAGTAATAGATCATTTATGTAAAATGGCAAAGATTAGACAACTAGTCATCTTTGTGGACTAATTCATAGACCATGTGAAAAATAACAGTTTTCCATTTTAAAACAGGTTACTACGTTTTGAAAGCTTCTTTTTGACTGCAACCAGTGGAAACATTTCCCTTGTGTTATAAATAAATATAGTAAAATTAGCGAGGCCTTTTGTGTTTTCCCCTCCGACTTAAATTCTTCTCCAATCAAACGAAGATAGCATCATTTTATTTTCTCAATATAAGAGTAATGCATTACTGATTTTTAAAAAATGAACAGAAAAGTTTAAGAAAGTAAGACATCCCCACTACCCATATCCTTTTCTGAGATCTTGAATCCCATTTCGTATAGGGGTACAGGGGAAACGCTGAGCATTGAGGCTGCGTTGTGGTGGGGGGCGTGAAGGGAGAGGTGGGTGGACAGGGAGTAGAGGAGAGAAAAATTATTCCTCAAAGAGGAAGAAAAGACCAATGCACATGGGAGCAGATGTAGTTTCTCTCTGCTAACCAAAGAAAGGCAAATGCCAACCACAAGATAAGCTACTTCTGGTTTCTGGGATTGGCAGAGGAAAATGAGTGGCAGGACCTGCTGTGAAGGGAAAGGAAACGGGTGGGCTGTCTCCTGCCGCACTGCTGGTGGGAGTGGTAATTGGGGTTCTGAGCTCACGAGTGACGTGGCTCTCACATGAGCAGGAGCCGACGTGTGCAGACGTCCTGCTAATCCAGGTCTTTCGTTTGGTCCGGTTGCAATCTCCCTATTACCTCGAGGGCTGGCGGGCCTGTGGCCAGGAGAGGAGAAGGAGGAGGTAACTTCCCTGATCCCAGCCAGTCTACGTGTGGATGGTTGCTTGCCCGGGGGATTTCTGCGGTGCGGGTAGCGGAGGGTGGAGACTAAAGAAGGACGAGGCTCGCTTTCTCCACACCCTTGCACTATCCCCGGCCCTTTCAAGAACAAGAATGGTGGACCCTGGGGGCCAGATTACCGGGGAGACCCCAGACCAGGAGGGGGAAAACCTGAAACCTTTGGCATCCAGGGCCTTGAATCGGGAAGGGCCGATGTTAAGGTTCTTGTCCTGTGTGCTGGTCCATTTAGCAAGCCAGTATCTTGGGGCTAGGCGTCTGTCTTGTCACTCCCCGTGTCTTTCAGTAGGGCGCTGTACCACTCGGAGCAAAGGAATAAAGAATCTGCCCCGAACCTCTGCAAGTCAGTGTAAAGGTGGGATTGCCCCGCGATCCCCAGAAGGGCGGGGATGGCTGGGGTCCTCCTCCTAACTCGGGCGCATTACTGACTCCCCAGTCACCTCCCTGCTCTTTTATATAGGAAAAAGGAGATGACAGCGCGTACAGGAAACATAGTTGTCGTTGGGGCTATGACTGCGTCGTGCAGGGGAATCAAAGAGACCGTTGGGTTTTCTTTTGCTCCTCCGGTTTTTCTCACTCCCTCGCCCCGCCTCCCCTCTTTCCAGTTGTTCGAAAGGGGTGTGGTTTTTCTTGGGAAAATGGCCGACCGCTGGGGCTGGGGCTGGGGCTGGGACTGGGGGTTGGGGGAGGGGGTGGATGGACGCCGTTGCTGGAAGAGGGCTGCTGTTAGCGGAGTCCTGAGAAGTGGGAGTAGGGTGAGAGACCAAAAGGTGAAATCCGTTTGACAACCAAGACCTTGGATTCGGAAAGGCTGGTATTGGGACTGTCTGAAGTGCTGTTCTGTCTGCCTAGCAGTCTGTCTCTGCCCTGTCGCCTGTCTGTGTCTTTGGATCTTGCGGCTGAAGGCCAATCCAACTTTAGGAGCAGGAAGAAGAGGAAAATTGTCCAGAAACAAGTATGTCAGTGTGAGAGTGGTGGCACTATTTAGGGATCCCTGGGCTGGAGAATGGTGAAGACTGCAGACTCCAGTGGGCCCGTGGGCCTCCCCCACATACCCCTCCTCCTCTCCTCTCAGGACCATTTCGGAGCTTGCAAAAGAAAGTGCTCTGCACGGAAAGAAGTGGCTGGGAGGACGAAGGTGTCACGAGAGTCGTGGGGTGGGGGTGGGGAAGACCTTTCTCCAAATTACTCTTTGGTACCAGAGTTGTCAGTCCTTAGGTTAGGTGGAGGCGGAAACCGAGATGAGGGAGGAAGGAAATTGCTCCCGAGCAGTGGATATAATGGGTGGGGGTAGGAGTATCCTGGTACCTCTGAGTTGGTGGGGGTGGCGGAGGCAAGGGCGGAGTTCGAGACTTCTGTGCATTTTACGCCTGTCTGGCTTCTAGACACTCTCCCTCCATCGCCATCCATTTTGTTACAGGGAAGGAGTTGTGGCACTCACCTTCGAAGGCAGTGACTTTCGGGGCTGGGGGCTGGGTGGAGGATTGGAGGAGATCGAAGGAACGCGGGGCGGGGGGGGGCGGCTCATAATGAACTTCAAAGTCCTGTCCCGGCTGAGGTTCATCTGTCTGTCTCAGGAGCTCTCAGCACCACTCCCTCCACCGCTTTGTATGCAGGTTTGCAGGACTCAGTGTACTTCCAGGCAAGAAATAGAAGGAAGAAACTGCCTGGACCCCTGAGGGTGTATGTGGGGCTGCCACTGCCCCCAGGACATCTGGAGGGGCAGGGGAGGTAGGGAACTGATTAGCTACCTTAAATTTAACATACTGGAGTGGGGTGGTTGAACATGAGGTTGGAGAATCTGGAGGTGGGGAAAATTTTCAAAATTACCTTCCTGATTAAAAAAAGGAATCAGTGATCTACCCTTGAGTCCCTGCCATGTCCCCATTTGTTTTGTCTCTTTGTAGGTCTGTAGTTCAGTCTGTCTGCATGCGAAGGCACAGAAGGAGGAGACTGAAGCCTCAAATCTTTCTTTCATTCTTAGGTCCCCCAGTATCTGTAGCTGCAGCAGAGCCTGCTGGCTGTAGCTGAAGATTCCACAGCCCCCTCCCCCTGCCCCCTGACTTGGGAGCACTCTTCTGGCCAGAGCAAACCCTTCAGACACTCGTGGCAGCATGGGCCGAACTCGGGAAGCTGGCTGCTTGGCCGCTGGTGTAGTGATCGGCGCTGGCGCCTGCTACTGCGTATACAGACTGACCTGGGGAAGAGATGAGAGCGAGAAAATCTGGGACGACCACGATGACGATGAGGAGGAGGAATCTAGCGATATTGCAGAGACTGGGAAAGGAGCTAAGGCTAATGCTGGGGCAGGGGCTGGAGCCAGACTTCAGGGTGACTCAAAGGCCAAGGCTGAGGTGTCCGTGGAACTCAGGAGTGGACCTGATGTAAAGGCAGAGGCCCACTTGAAGGCCCAGAGTGGAGGTGGCCTAGAGGCCAAGGCCAAGGCCCTTTTCAGCACCCTGAAGGAACAGGCAAGTGCAAAGGCGGGCAAAGGGGCCAGGTTGGGTACCATCTCCGGGACCAGGACCCTTATACCTGGTTTACCCTGCCCAGGAGTCAGGGGTGGAGGCTGCCACCCTGTGAGGAATGGAGCTAGGGCTGGGGGCAGGACTAGTGGCAAGTCCAAGGGAAGAACCAGAGGTAAGAGCACCAGGACTCCAGCTACATCATGGCCTGTTCGAAGGGGCAAGTTCAACTTTCCCTATAAAATTGATGATATTCTGGGTGCTACTGACCTTCAAAAGGTCCTTAACATCCTAGAAAGAACTAGCGATCCTTTTATTCAGGAAGTAGCCTTGGTCACTCTGGGTAACAATGCAGCATATTCATTTAACCAAAATGCCATTCGTGAATTGGGTGGTCTCCCAATTATTGCAAAACTGATAAAAACGAAAGATCCCATTATTAGGGAAAAGGCGTACAATGCCCTTAATAACTTGAGTGTGAATGCAGAAAATCAGGGCAAGATTAAGACATATATCAGTCAAGTGTGTGATGACACCATGATTTGTCGTTTGGACTCAGCTGTGCAGATGGCTGGTCTAAGGCTGTTAACCAACATGACTGTGACAAATCACTACCAACATTTGCTTTCCTATTCTTTTCCAGACTTTTTTGCTTTGTTATTCCTGGGAAATTACTTCACCAAGATTCAGATTATGAAACTAATCATAAACTTTACTGAAAATCCAGCCATGACAAGAGAGCTGGTCAGTTGTAAAGTACCATCAGAATTGATTTCCCTCTTTAATAAAGAATGGGACAGAGAGATTCTTCTTAATATCCTTACCCTATTTGAGAATATAAATGACAACATAAAAAATGAAGGGCTTGCCTCATCCAGGAAAGAATTCAGCAGAAGTTCACTTTTTTTCTTATTCAAAGAATCTGGAGTGTGTGTTAAGAAAATCAAAGCATTAGCAAATCACAGTGATCTGGTCGTGAAAGTAAAAGTCCTAAAAGTATTGACCAAACTTTAACTGGGGGTCTGTCCCAAACAATACTGAGGTAATTTTTTAGTTTGCACTTGGGAACAATGCATTTTGTAAATTCTTTGCTTTTCACTGTGCTTATATGTCAAAGAGATCCTTTCAGCTGCTATTTTGGAATAATGAATATCACATATCAACAGTGATGCTGGTTGTGATGGTTGGTTTTAGGCTAGACCATTTTAAGGATGTCAGATGAATACTAGAGCTTGTACAAAGAAAGCATTTATTGATTCCATCTTGCTACCTAGATTGAGATATTTTTACTCTTTCCTCTACTTAAACTGACAGCGAACTAATCACGAATAAGCTATACTTTTGTATTGGTTTACATTTGTTAATCTTGTGTTTCATCAATAAAGTTGTGTGTTTTAACCAGCAAAAAAAAATTATTATGTTCTTGAGTTTATGATATATTTGGAGAGGCAAGATGTATGGAAACAAAAAGATACTGACAAAACTGAGAACCTCTAATCATGGCCATCTGTTTCCTATTTCTGCAGGTAACAGTGCTCTCCTTCGGATGCTTAAGTAGAACTGGGCATGAAGGATGGGATAAAAACAGGGCGGAAGGGCATTGGACGAAGGAGGAGTGATGGGAAGAAAGGCATGGAGGTGGGAATTTTTCTCCACGGAAGAAGGAGGCTGTGCCTCCTCTGTGGAATAAAGTGTGGGGAGGGGAGTGATGGAAAATACAGTCTATCAGTTGGGTGAGTTCCATTCATGGAGGATCCCTGATTTCTAAACTGAGGTGTCTGTATATTATTTCACCAACCCCTGGGAGACACCAAACCCTTTTGTGACCAGAGGAGTGACAGGATGAAAGGAACATTATGTGGCTGACTTGTGTGCAGAATGGGTCAGAGTTGGGGTGGAGACAGGAGTGGCCACTGGAGATTGGAACACCACTTAGGATGTTACCACCATAGTTCAGGCATAGATGCTAAAGGTGTGAAATTTCACTGGTGGTAATGGGAGTGGCAAAGGGAGGAAGGAAGTGAGAGTTGCTTTGAATGAAGAAGTGCTGGAACATATCCTGGGGACATACAGAGAGGGACAATTTTATTGTAGGGTCTTGAAGGCATTTGATAAGAAAACATCCTCTTTCTTGTCCAACGCTGGTGTCTATGGGATTGAATATGTTAGTGATTATTTTGGAATTATGAAAAAATATAAAAGAATAATTTTTAGTGCTTCTATCAGATTTCTTTTACAAGATTGGTTGGGGCAGGGTCTTTATGGAACCTCGAGAGGGCTGTTGGCATCCATACTGGAGAAAATCCACCTGTCTTCCAACCCAGAGTATGGTGAAGGTGTGGGTAGAGGGACACTTTCAAACTGTGTTGGTGGGAGCATACTTGGTACAAGATCCATTTGGATACATGTTTCAGAAGCTTTCAAGATGTGCATGTTCTTTGACCCACTAATTCCACTTATACAAATTTGTCCTTAGGAGATATAATTGGCTTAGGAGAAATAACTGGCTTGTACAAGTTTATGCATCTTTGCACTGCTTTGAAGAGTGAAAAACTGTGAATGGCCCAAGTGTCTTGAAATAGGCACTTGGCTAAGAAATTAAGGTATTGAAACATTATGCAGCTCTTGAAAATGTTGATGGGCAACTATACTTATTTACTTGGAGAAAATTCAGCATCTATCTATCTATATATATATATATATATTTTTTTTTGTGGTACGCGGGCCTCTCACTGTTGTGGCCTCTCCCGTTGTGGAGCACAGGCTCCGGACGCGCAGGCTCAGCGGCCACGGCTCGTGGGCCCAGCTGCTCCGGGGCATGTGGGATCTTCCTGGACCGGGGCACGAACCCATGTCCCCTGCATCGGCAGGCGGACTCTCAACCACTGCACCACCAGGGAAGCCCTCAGCATATATTTTAAGTGGAAAAGCCAGTTACATGACCATATACATAGTGTATTCCATTTTTGAGAAATATAAAATATTTACATGCATTAAAACTTCTATAAGGCTATATACCAAAATAAGAAAAATGGCTATGAGTAAGAAGACAGTGCATGAATTTAATATTTGAATCTTTTCCCTCATCTGTATTTTCTTATCTGTAATGTATATTGATTTTTTGTGTAATTGTTGGAAAATAAAAATGTTGGATACAGGCTCAGTTGGAAGTGAAGGAGATGATAGAATGGGAGAATGGGTGGGGCTTATATGGATATGTTTCCCACATATTGAGTGGGAAAATATTTAGACCAAAAAGGAAGATGTGTTGAAATGATACATGAGCTGTCAAGATGTGGATAATAAGAGTCCTTATATCATATGATTAAATGAGGTAATCTGGGTAAACTGCTAAAGTAGTGCTGGAACATACGAGTTAATTGATAAAAGTGAACACCCTTAATTAGCTAAAAGACAGGGTGGATAATTTTTAATTTACCATTTTTTCTAAGGTGTCCTTCTGCCATACACTAGTGTTATTTTTCCCCAGCTTTATTGAGATATAATTGACATAACATTGTGTAAGTTTAAGGTGTATGACCTGTTGATTGATACATATATATGTATATATATTGCAAAATGACTACCACCATAGCATTAGCTACCACCTCCATCCTGTCACATAATCACTATTTCTTTTTTGGGGTGAGAATATTTAAAATCTACTCTCTTAGCAACATTCAAACATATAATACAGTATTACTAGCTATAATCACCATGTTGTACATTAGATCCTCAGAACGTGTTAATCTTATAACTGGAAATTTGTACCATTTGACCAATATCCCCTCATTTCCTCCACCCCCAGTCCCCAGTAACTACCACTCTACTCTCTGAGTTCATCTTTTTTAGATTCCACATATAAGTGATATCATACAGTATTTATCATTCTCTGTCTGACTTATTTCACTTAGCATAATTGCCTACAAGTTTTTCCAAAGTTATTGAAAACATGAAGATTTCCTTCTTTCTCATGGCTGTGGTATATATACTACATCTTCTTTAACCATTCATCTGTTGATAGACACTTAGATTGTTTCCATATCTTAGCCATTGTGAAGAATGATGCAATGCTTATGGGTGTGCAGATATCTTCTCGAGATCTTGTTTTTATTTCTTTTGGACTTATATCCAGAAGTGGGATTGCTGGATCATATGATAGTTCTATTTTTCATTTTTTTTAAGGAACCTCCATACTGTTTTCCATAGTGGCTGTACCAATTTGCATTTGCACCAACAGTGCACAAGGGCTCCCTTTCTCCATGCCCTCTCCAACACTTGTTATCTCTTGTCATTTTGATGATACCCATTATAACAGGTGTGAGGTGATATTTCATTGTGGTTTTGATTTCTATTTCCCTGATGATTAGTGGATGTTGAGCACCTTTTTGTGTACCTGTTGGCCCAGTGGATTTTAATAAATAAACTGATAAAATAATTCCTCTGAGGAATAGGGTCTTTGTTCCCTTCTAAGAACTGAATATGTTTCCTCAATTCCATCTCATCAATTTTTACAACGTTCCTAATGCCTGGGTTTAGACATGAAGACATGAAGCCTAAGTATTTCTCAAAGTAGGGTTGGTGGAATTCTGGGAGTACATGTACATGTTTCTGGGTTTAAGGCATTTCCTATAAATGTTTTTTTTTTTTTTTT